ACGTCAATTTTGACACCTTTAACCTCACTTTTCTCAAAAACCTGACGTGATAGAGCAATTCTGCCGCCGGATTCGGATTCAGCGCGAAAAATTACGTAAGAAAACATAGTTAAATCCCAATCAACAAAACCATGCAGGCCTGTGTTATCTGTGTGATGTTTTTCACTTAAGTTGATTTTTATCTAGATTTTTATTTTAAAAATTACTATAAATCATAAAATACTATTAGAGGACAATAGTAACATCGATGCCTGGGGTCAGTTATTCAATTTTATACTGCAGAATCTGGATTTTGTAAGGACTGTTATTTCGGTTTACTTAATAGCATTATCAGCGACTTTTTTATATTTGGCGAATACTTTTTGTAATCGAACCATGGCGTATCCAGGATTTATTTGTTGACAACATCTATTCATAGTTGGATACTCGGCGATATTTGAATGTTTGGCGTAAATCCAGGATCTACCTTCCGTCGACTATATATAACTGAAATCAGGCCTGAACAACGAAGGTCTATTTTTAATAATTTTCATTGTAATCTATAATTAGTGATCTATGTTAATCTATTGTAATCAACCGCTTTCATATACATACTTGTTTATAACTTTGAAAATGAAGGTGGTCGAAATGTTAGTTGATGTAGACATATTTTTAGTTTGATGTAGACATATTTTTTTGTTTTTATTTTTATTTTACTTAATGTCAACTGTATATATACATTAAAATTTGTTTTGTTTTGACTCGTAGCTCTTCTGATTTATTTTGTTTTATTTGAATTATTTGAGCCTTTCTTTATTATGTATTTTTATTAATAAAACCAATGAAATAACCATTATTTTATTTATAAATAGTATGGTACAATTGTCCCTCTCTATTGTTACAATCGTCTCAGGGGTTGGGACGGTTGTAACAAAATTCCTCATAGTCTTTAAACAAACATAACTTTTTTTCTAGTTACATTGAAAAATTGAATCAAAGAAAATTTTGTAGCTAAATAAATTCTACATCTAAAGATATATACTTTTTTTTAATATAAATATTATATTTTAACTGTTATAACACTTCAAAATCAAAATGTTACTTTTGTCCCCGGTCTCCCTACCACATTTTCTCATGTTGAAAAAATAGTTGTCGATAAGAAAATGCGGTACTAAAAAGTTGATAAAAAATTAAACAAAAATTCTTAATTAAAAAATTATTAAAAATCAGTATTTGGTTATTTTTAGTAATTGATATCTTATTAATTATTGCAAAAATTGCAAAGTAGTAAAGGACTTTTTGACTCAATTTAATCCGCTCTATCCCTATGCAAGAGTTTTATCGTTATTTATCAAACATCCCGTATACTATATTTAATTAATTATACTTTGGATAATGTTTAATGTTATGTAAATGCTGAACATTGTTATGCAACATCTCAGACAGGATAACTTGAATGTTATACAGCATGTTTTGAGTGGTCTCTGTGGTAGAAAGTTGCAGAATAGATGAAGCATTCTGCATCTGATTAAAGCTGAGAAGGTTATTCTTATCGTCGCCTTTAAATTCGTATATACGTAACTTCATAAATGCCTTTTTTTTGTATATATATATATATATATATATATATATATTTTATACTTCAAACAGTTGATTGATAAATTCGGATCTCGTTGTTGGATTATCTAATATCGTATATGCTTCAGACCCTGTAGCCATGCCACCTTCATGATCTACTGTTTCCACAACTATACCCGATTCCTCCAAAGAGATATTATGATCAATTTCCATGATAGATTGTTCTGCACCGTCGTCTCCCCAATCAATATCACCTCCTGTGTCCAAATCAATTTTTTCACCGAAATCAATTTCTCCATCCAAATCCAAGTTACCGAAATCAATGGTCTGTTGAGAATGCTCGAAATAATAACAATCTCTACTTTTGTTATAAATATCACAAAAAATCTCATACATTAGCATCCACGCTAGACTGCTTATTACTTTCATCTTCATCCACTTTAATATTCAATGGCGGCTCAATTATTGACGCTGGTACTTCTCCATATGTATATTCAAACATTGTTGTGTTTCCCTTTCCTAAAAAAAAAAAAAAAACAATATAACACTATCATACGTGTTTCTTATTTAAGTATAATAATAAATTCTTGAAATTATTATGCAAACATACCAATAATGTATTTAATCATCGATACACAATCACTGTTATATTGCTGGTCAAAAGTGAATTCAACAAATGCACTATAAAACTCTACAACCTTGTCCAAGCGCTTTGTTTTCTCCGCTACTTTCTGATAAATTTCTGGCAATTCTTTTACCTTATCCATTAACTCTCGTCTAACCGTATTATAACCAGTTACACCTAATTGTTTGCATAGTATGTTGTATTCCATATGTGCAATATTTTCCGATTTCTTATATTCTGCTTCTTTCTTTTCCAATTCCTGACAATATAGTTTTATATACATTTATTATATGCTAATAAGTAAAGATAACATTACAGAATATATAAATCAATTTACAGCTAACAATTGTTCTAACTTCTGTATCTGCTTCTTAATACTGGGAACCTCATAATTGACATTTCTCATAAGCATTTGCGCGACTTCGGCAAGGTATACATTTTCTTTTTCATACAATCTCAAAATTTCCTGCCAATCTTTCATCCTTTGTGAGCCATAACGCCCAAATAAATTTTTTGTATCGGCTTCTGTTTCCTTCAAAATTTTCACAATTTTCACACAGTAAAAATAATTTATATCTAAAAAAGACAAGATAAAAAAAACAAAATAGTCAGAAGTCTGCAACTATATGTTTGTAAAAATCATGAGATAGAACTATAATGATTCATAGCTTACAGGCACCAGACAACAATGAGGCAATGCCATCATGAGCAGGCATATTCTGTATCGCATTATTAATTTTCTGTCTAATGGGCAAAATATTCATGTGCCAATCCTTCTTGCAGTGCCTCCGATTAATCAGCCAATCAAGTAACTTTCCAGCGTTAATGTCGATCGGGATATTCTGTTCCTAAATAATTATTAAGATAATTATTGATATGTGAAAATTTGATTAAATTTAATAAAATTCAATAATAAAAAAGGAAAACAATATCAAACGTTAAAAATGATATAAAAACACACATATTAATGAAATCCAAAAAAAAATGTTTATTCTCAATTGTATCATGTGTAAAATTGAGGATAATTTTTTTTTTAATTTACACAAAGCTTATACAAGCTCAGGTGATCATCACTTTAATATACATATGTTGTCAAAGTCATAATCCAGAATAACTTTGTCTTAACAATTAAGTGGTGATCTCTTATTATCTAATTTTTGAGATATTTACAGTTAAAGTGTAATTTCAGTAAAAGATTTTAATCATGGAGAACAAACTTAGACGACCTTAATCTTTTGACATATGTTGTCCGGACCATGATCTTGAGCAACTTTGCTTTAACAATTAGGTGACAGTCTGTCATAGGTTCTGAGATATTTAATTAATTTTCGATTTACGTGAAAGTTGTAGACCAATGTAAAATCTCTACTGAAGTCCCTACTGAAAAAAATCATGTTGCAAAGTTACATAACGAAATGTCATGTAATTAAAACAAGTAAATTACTTAACAAATTGTTTCAAATCAGTACGTAATTTGAAAAATTACATAACATATTTTTTCTTCTATTTCTATGATTTAATTTTTTTAAATTCAATAACTATGAAATCACATGATGGATGAAATTATTTCTAATTTATGTAATTTTTCAAATTGTGATTTAAAAAAATCATATACTGATTTGGAACAATCTGTTACGTTTATCTTAATTACATGATTTCTCATTATCTAACTTTGTGACATTTTTTTCAACAGAGGCATGTTGTAGAGTGTAGTCACACATCCATGCATTAAGTTTTATATATTAAACATTTGTATTACTATATAAATGAATTAATTTACAATATACTAAAAATGATAGAAACCGAAAAGATTAATTAGATCCTTATGTAAGGTAGGAAGTAGATAGGTGTAAATGTTGAATCACAAACTATCCTCTGCTATAGTTTAAATTATATTATAGAATAAGAACATTTGTGTTTTTTAAAGGGTCTGTGTAATCTTTTTGATACCTATTATTTTTAGTATATTGCAGACTCATTTATTTAGTAAGGCAAAGATTTAAATTGGTTCTTTTTTTAGTAAAGTGCCGAAAATTTGAGATGCCTCATAAGGGCCCACTCAAAATTACAAATATAATTTGGATGATATTAAAACTACATGTATATCTTAATGAAATAGGATAGGAACATACAATATTAGATCAAGCTTCATCGAACAAAACAAGATGAGATTATGTTTACTTTTCAAAGTTAAATTTATATGCAAGTTTATGCACGTAAATATCTTTCCAGAATGGCCATCGACCTATTACTTTTTTGTGACCATTAAAATCGTAATTCTTTAAACTATTATGATCTCGTTTTTGAGAAAAGTCTATGGTAAAATTTGTGTGCAAAGAAGCATCTGTGAGTCTTATCTGTCACTAAATATGTGAAAGGTTTAACATTTTTAACATTTTTCTTATTTTATTGTTAACCTACAATAGAAATTTGCACACGTTAATTATGGTACTTCAATCTCATTATATAAAAAATTAGACATTTCTATGGTAACTCGATTTACTGAAGAACCTTAATACATAAAATGCATGTGCATGTAACCAGAGAGCATACACATGTGTAATCCCAGCGCAAGCTTATTAACTTTGATTGTAATAATTTTTTATTTAATAACTTTTTAATAAACAACGAGCGACGAGCTAATATCTTCTGAAGGTCACTCAGGATCATAGCCTTGACAACATATGTCAAGATCAAAATCAAATTCCGGTAATTATACAGTTTACTACTGAGCACTTACAAAATCAATAAAATTAGGCTTATCCAATGCATCTTTTCATAAAACGAAAGAATCTGTCAGAAATAAGCGTCGCTCTGCCCCGCGAACCGAAATATTAAGCGCTAAAGTTGGCGGCTATTGAAGTTAGGAAATCTGTCACAGAAGCGAAACGAGGTCTATAATTGTATTGTTGCACATGGGTTTCGACTTTCATGGAAACTCAGAACCCATGTGCAACAGTACAATTATAAAAGTCATGCACCCCTTAAACAGGGAGGTGGAATGGAAGTCACTTCGCATGGAAAGTCGAAACCCATGTACAATCAGCACAATGCATGCTTGCATCGCAGTATTTTGTGGCAATAACAGATTTCCTAACCTCAATAGTTATTAACTTTAACGCTTAATATCTCGGTTTACGGGGCAAAGCGACTTTTTTTACTAGATTCTTTCGTTTCATGCAAAAACGCATCAAATAAGTCTAACTATTGATTTTTAAGGTGTTTAGTGTGGTACTGTAGTTATACAAATTTATTCTGTGAGGTTAAAATTTACTAAAATTACATTTCAACTCAAAATATCAGCAAAATTATAAGAGATAACAACATAATTGTTAAGGCAAAGTTACTCAGGATCATTAATAACATATGTCAAGGACATCCAAGTTGTGTAAATTTTTGTAAAGAATTACTAAATCGAATATATGTACATACGTATGCACATGCTTTTACATCTATGTTCAAAATTGATATTGTTAATTTAAAAATAATTGCATGTTTGAATGACCACTTACCTGCATATTATAAAATTCAAGTGAATTTCAACAAGAAATCGTACTAACTTAATACGGCGTGGAACCAAAATTTAAGCCAATGGAGGTAAATGTTAATTGAGGAAATATCCCTTCCAACTCAAATTTTGATAAAAATATACTCATTTGATGCGTTTTCGCGTAAAAATACGATCTCACAAGAAAAAAAACGTGCCTCAAGAATTGAGATAATAATGAGCAGTATTCAGTCCATTCTTATTTGAGCACTAGAAACGAAGTCTGCGAAGATATTCGCGTCCACCATTTTTACTCCTTCCCCCACTGTTTGTTCTCTCTTCAATCTTCTCTCTTCTCCCTTCAATCTTCTTAGTTTAGCGGCGG